CCCAGGCCAGGTTGGGGCATGTGCAGGAGGCAACTAATCAATGTTTCTCTCACATCGATGTTTCTTTCTCTCTCCCTCTTCCTCTCCCCCTCCCTCCCTCTTCCTCCCCTCCTCCCTTCCTCCCCTTCTCCCCTCCTCCCTTGAGCTGTGCCCTGGCTTTCGGCTTGGGTGTAAGGCGATGGTTGGGAGCTCTTGGCCAGCGCCGGGTTCTATGCTCTGTGCTCTAAGTCATACTCTGGGCTATGGTTCTAAGCTCTAAATCAGAATTGATATTCTGGCTTAGGCTCCGGGGAGGCTCCATCATGGTTCTAGCCTGACCTCTGGGTTCTAGACCTTTTGAATTTTGGAATCTAAGCTAGGATTGGGGTTCTAGATTGACTCTGGATTGTGGTATACTTTCTAGATACTGTGCGAGCTTTCGGTTTTAGGGTAGGCTGAGGGTTCTGTTCTGAGCGCTGCACTATGGCTTGAATCTGGGTTCTAGATATTGATTTGAACTTTTAGTTTTGGGGTTGGGAGAGGATGCTGTACTGACAGATGGAATAAGACGAGCTATGGATTCTGGACACTGATATGAGCTCTAGTTTCTAGGGTGAATTCTGGATTCTTGCTTAAGTTCTGGCTTATGACCTGGGTTTTAGACAATGGTTTGAGCTCTGTGCTCTAGTTGGACTTAGGATTCTAAACATCAGTCTTAGTCTTGATTCTAGGCTGGGCTCTGTTTTACATTGAATTACAGGCTCATCTGGGCTCTTGGTTCTAGACTCTGGTCTGAGTCCTTGACCTTGGGCTCTGGGTTCTGGATGGAGCTCCTAGATCCAAGTTTCTGATGCTGGTTTGCGTTCTGAGCTTCATAGTCTAGACTCTGGGCTGAGTTCTGTGTTCCAGGTTCTAAACTGAACTTCAGTTAATGCCATTAGATTTGGTTCATAGGCAGTAGGAGAGCTCTCATCTTGGGCCTGGGGTCTAGGTTTAGGTCTAGAAGCTTAGAGGGGTTATGAGTTCTGCATGGGGCTTCAGATTATGGTCTGCATTCTGGGATTTAGGCACTGGGTTGGGGTCTGGGTTCTAGGTCACTCAAAGAGGAGCTGCAGAATAGACTCTGAACTAAATGTTATATCTAGGATGGGCTTAAGGTTCTGCATCTACCCTACACTCTGAGCTGTATGTTCCAGCTGTAACCGGGGTTTTGGATTTATGGCTGGAGTGTAGGTTCTGAACCCAACTCTGGATTCTAGGCAGATTTCTAAGAGGGGTCCTGGGTTTCTAAATTTAGACTGTGCCCCAAATTCAGCCATCAATCTAGAATGGGCTCCTAATCTTGATCTCTACACAGAGCCAGCCTCTGTATGGATCTCGAGATTACTCATTAGGTTGCAGGTTCTGTGTGGGCCTCCAAGCTGGCGTATGGGTTCTAAACTGCCAATCTGCCTTCAGAATCTAAACTGAGTCCAAGATTCGTGGCAGGATTCCCTATTCTGAGCTGTGTCAGTTGTTCTAGGCTCTTATCTAGACCCCAAACCAGGCCCCAGCTGCTACTTTGGCTCTATACAGGGGTCCAGGTTCTAACTGAGCCCTGGGGCTCCAAATTGGAGTTCACTTGGCATAAGAATAGGGGAGGGTGTCACTCACACGCGGGAGCAGTGAGCGGCAGTGATGACCCACTGGTCTGACAGCAGGGCCCCTCCACAGAGGAAGCGACGCGTGACACCTGCCAGCAGGGCTGCCTGCCACGGCTGGGAGTGCTGGATGCATGGGTAGCCACCAATTATTTTGTTATCCTCTTGGCTCTGCACCATGGCTAGGAACAGGCAGGGGTGGGGTGAGGAAAGCAGGTGAGCAAGTGTTCTCCACTTCCCAGCAATCTAGGATGTCTAGGACCCCAACCCCCCTTTCTTTGCTTAACCCTTGATCACCACACCTGTCTTTCCCAACCAATATGACATATGGCCAACATAGCTCCCATCACTGCCCCAATACAATAGGGAGCTTACTGACACCCACCTTCATTATTTGACCCAGGGTCTTGCTATGTCTTCTGCCCTTGACTCCAAATTCCCACAAACACTTTCCATCATCACTTTTCACAATACACCCCACTTACCCCCATTAATCCCTCCTCCAACACATTCAAGGTGCTCCCTGTCCTATCCCAAAACTTCCCATTCAATGTGGCCCCCTAAGGTTCCACTATCTCTCCCCACACCCACTCCATACTCCACACCACGTCCCTGCCATGAGCCCGCCACCTCCTTGTCACCCCAACCACCACTTGGAAGCACCCCATGGCCCCCCTTTCTTATATGACTCCTAAAGTCTCCTGAAATAACCACAAGACTGCACTTAGGCCTCCCTCTCCAGCACATCCCCAAGCCTTAATTTCTAAACTACGCCCCCCAACTCCTCACCAGGTCACCCATGAGCATCCTGGTCCCCAGGGCCCTTCCCCTCCTTTCTCAGGGTCTCCAGGGGACTTCCTACCCCAGACCCCAGCGCTATCTTACCTACAGCCAAGATCTGAAGTGCGGTCAGCAGGAGGAGCATTCTGGGGGCTGGGAGTTTGGGTTCTGGCAAAAACAGAGAGAAAGTGAGAGAGAAGGAGCGGCGTCAGGTCCAGAAGATGAGGGACAGAGACAGCGAGAGCCTCTCACACAGAGACCAAGACCCTTAGAGACATGGATCTGGGGTCCTTGGCGATTGGAGGGAGGATGTTGAAGAAGGCCCACATCCGGCCTTGATATCTTCCCAGGTGGAGGAAGTGGGGATAGTGCCTCATCTCCCTGTCACTCTCTGGAGGCCTTTTATCCCTGGTCTGGGCAGTTGGCCCTACCT